AGCGTAAATCAATAAAAGTTATTTGAAGTTTTATGGCCTCTTGGCTGAAGTAATTATCCACATGTCGTTTTCTTAGCTATGGCGCGCACTTCGTCTTGTGCTCGACACAGGCCTCCACAGCAAGGGAATGAGTCGGCAAGAAGGACTGGACCTACTAGCTAAATATGCATGGGACACTTCCGATATTGCACAGAAAGAGATGACTCGATACCAGTCCGGCCCGGGACAGGCTTCCGCATACATGATTGGTCAGTTGGAGATCCAAAAGTTAAGAGAATACACAGTAAAGAATCTGAAGGAGAAATTTACCTTGAAAGAATTTCATTATCAGGTAAATTTAATTGACAAAATTAAGGGTGAAACAAACCCTGGGTTATCTTAACCCTACTTTGAACAGTTAGGCCCAGGAGATCAAATTTAACCATAAGCTATTTTGCCTGCACTACCCAACTGGATACACAAGGACGATTTATGATGTCCGCTTAGCGCGTTAGCCTGCCAACGCAAAACCTAGTGTCATATGATGACATAAAAGATATTAACTAAAACAAAGACCATATGTACTACCTAACACGTCGAAGACTAGCCTGCGTCACAGAGGTAATCGTAATCCGTTAGTAACGTCTGCGAAGCAGTGCCGAGATACTTGTTCTGGGCGCCCAACGGACAAAAGAATTATCGGAAGTGAGTTGCGAATTTCCCCTCATCCTGATTGGCAATTCGACAACGGCTTTTTTAAGTTGCTAATCATGGCGCTAACTCAATTCCTGGTACACAGATGGGGGCCCAGAACATAGATTTCGGCTCTGTTTGGCTGACTTTACTAATCGGAGTTTTATTGCGCGTGCGACGCAGGCTCGTCGAAGGCTGGCCGTAGAATGTCATACACAGGTAACGGCTGCAAGTATCAACACTATCCCCAAATACACTGCACGCTTCACACCCATCACCAGACCCCTGATATGAACCTGTAAAATGGTAATTTATGCGATTGTCACAAACTATGTCTGGTCGGAGTTTTGAAGACGTTATCACCAAATGGACCATTGCTAGTGAAACCATTACTTTTTTCTCTTCTCCTCGCTCTCTTTTTTTTTGCCTTAAGTTTCCTTTTCCTTCGTTAGTGTGATGTTGGAGTTTCTTGGGCTTAAGAAACCTGCCTTTTGACGCCTTTTCACTCAAATGACTGCAAATTTCGTTAGGTTGGTCTTCAAAAAATCGGTTAGATGTTTTTTCAGAGAGATTGTCAATCTTTCCATGGGTATCCCGAATTGAACATGTACTATTTCCTTTCAAAAACGTGGTCACCATTCGTTTTCACTGACACCAGCATCATATGTTATTCTTGCTGTCTGTCGTGAGATTTTAGTACTCAGTTTTTCATTTGTGGAAAAAAACCTGTAAGAATATTCCAGAAAGTGTAAGAGGGCTATTTTTGCGAGGCGATGCGTCCTAACAATGTAGGTACAACCAATGTAGTGGCTGCGCAAACCAAACTGAATTGAAATTTCTATCGGCAGTACAGTTAGGAAGCAAATGTTACATAGTACAAAAGAAAAGCGATTGTTGTTATCTGCTAACTCGTAATTGTTTTTTAGATCCTGAAACAAGGTTCTGCACCAACAAGCTTCCTGGAGAGCTACATTAAGCAATATGTTGCCTGTAAATTGGAGCCGAAAACTCCCGGATGTGAATTAATCTTGAATCCCATCAAAACGAATATGGAAAGCAATGCAGCTCTGATGCGGGCTTTCCCCAAGCAGCCTTACTCACGAAGGCTCTATGTATAACTCAGTGGTAGTTAGTCATTGCTTAGTAATGTTATTTAGTTGGATAAAAAATTCGTGTTGCAAAATAAGACATGGTTACAGACTGTTAGATGCATAATTCGTCGCTGAAATGGTAGAACAACTTGGCCTTACTAACACGACTACACTTGGTCCTCTAGTTACTTATTTTTTTGCTCGCTGAAGGATAGATAGCTAGTCTTGAATACGTTTCCCCGGGATTATGTATATAACTAAACGCATGGCATCGTGAATGACTGTGTATCTTATATTGAAAGTCATTTAGTTTCTTTCTCATGTACTGGTATTCTTGCTGTTCGTTTATGTAAACTGCGTTCACCTATCAATTCAGTTTGGTGAAAATATATGGCATTTCTTCTTTCATTTTAGGGAAACTGCCAGAATTTTATTATTACTATTATTATTGTTGTTGTTGTTAGTTCGCACCCTTTTCTGGTCTAACCGTCACCTTTTAATAGGTACCGTAAATGACCTAATAAACGCCCGAGGCGTGTCTAGTTTTACGGGTCCAAGCGAGGGCGTGTAATAGATAGGAGGCGTTTATTCTCATAACTGTAACAAGCTCAAAAAACTAATATGCTCTAGGCGAAAATATCAGAGAGTCTTAAACAGCCGAATATTCACTCCATCAATTGATACGTCTAGGCCGTCTAGAGATCAATATCACTTTTTCAAATCCCAACGTCGATGTCAGAATCCTCGCTCAGGATTATTGTGTTGCGATCGTTTGTCTATTCTTATACTTTGAACTTCACAATGAACAAGATGAACTACGAAGTGTCTTGTTAATCAAGCCAGAAACTGAATAAATTGAATGATTTTGCTTTTTGCCATTGGAGTTATTGTCATAGGGGGCGTCTATAATACATGGGGCGTTTATTAGAGAGGGGCGTCTAATACAATTTTAACAGCGTAGAGGGGGCGTTTATTAGAAAGTGGGCGTCTATTAGGTCATTTACGGTATCCATCACCTTTCTTATAATTCCTGCTGTTCCCAAGAAACAAGCTTCCGTCAAGTCCCGCTTTCTTTTGCTAACAGTTGCTGGGGCAGCAATGGCGATCGATAAAAGTAAAGCTTCCTCACAATTCCATAGACGCTTCAGCTCTCTTTTTAAGTCTTGGTACTTTTCGATTTCTTCTTAGTTATTATTATTATCACCTTATCATTTTTATTATCACTATTATTATATGCCTCTCTCTGATGTTTTCTATTCCAATTTTTTGTCGTTTTGATTAGATTTGTATGAATTGTATAGTAAATTTAATTATATTATCACCTGGTCCACTTAACTTAGAACAGCCAGAGTTATTATAGTGGAATGGTTATGAAACCCGTTAGACTCCTCTGTTATATGTTTTTGCTACCTTTTTTGGACCTGACCGTGCACAAAGTTCAATAGCATTCCTATCATTTTGAACTTACTGACCAATAGAAACATTGCATTAATTTATCCAGTCACAATTTGTAAACAAAAAACAAAGGATTGTGCACAGTCAGGGAGCTTCCAACATGAAACTACAGCACCATTGTTTTCAACTTTGATGTTTACCGGCTTTGATAACCAGTCTCCTCTACTAACTATGGAACAGCTTAGCACAACGTTTATTAAAACAAAACTTTTTATTGATCACTATTCAAGTGCAAACGTAAAACCATCATTGTGCCTATTCCCCCAGTACCAATTTTGCTTCGCATTTTATTATCATGATAGTATAATGCTACCTGAAAGTATGAAAAGAAATGCGTTTTGCTGTGGAAAATTTTTTTAAAACAATGAGGCAGGTGAGGGTTTTCCACAATTTTTATAGACTGCAAGTCTGTAGTTCTATGGGGTCACTGTAATTCATCTTACGTTTGAGGGGAGGGGCAACCTTGCAAAATCCTCAGTTCCCAATCCTCGGTGAAGGGGGGGGGGGGGGGGTGGGGGGAAAGGAAAGGGGGCACTCGGGGGATGCGGTGGGAAGAGGTTGGAGTCGCCCGCCATGACCACCAAACCCTTCCTTTTATATCACTAA